TTATTTTCCTCAAATAATACCCTCAGCTAAGGGTAGCTTTTAGGAACATTTGGTTCCTCACAAAGTAAAGCCCATCTCCAACGTGCAGAAGAGCATTAAGGACCAGCTCCTGGGATAAAGACACTTCCAGGGTACATCATGTGCAAAGGCAAAAGCCCTTTTCATTCCCCAAGCACCTGTCCCCTCACCCATTTCCCTGTTGGTGGCAGGCAATGTTCAACTGCAGCTTGCAACTTCAGTCCCCCGCTCCTGAAGCATTCACCTCCTTTAGCTGCTGAGTGTTGAGCTGCAGAACAGAATAGGATTTTCTTCCTCAGGTTATGCTCCTTTCTCCACCAAATGGTATTTTGACATTTCCACTTTTGTGTTAGTATTATTTGCTAATCCATGGGCAACTCTATTTCCAGCGTCAGATCCCTTTCAGAGGTTCTGCTTCTCAACCAGCATTTCCCTGCACCTTTAATGTCTGTAAAGCTTATTCCTTCCCTCTGAATCAATACAGCCTTATTTAGGATGGCATCTTTCATAGAACCTGCATCCTCAAACGCCTGTGAATAACTCCAGACCATGGCCTGTATCTGGGACAAACTGCTGCAAGAGGTAAATATAGTACAGAGGGAAAACATTTGACCACTCAGTATTTATTTCACCAAACCTCATCTTAATGAGTTCGTATCTTTTCTGCAGCTCATAGATTTTATATCTGCACACTTCTTCTCTCCCCTTGAAGAGTGGCATTACCAGCTTTGACCCTTAGCAGGTCTGATTACACTCACATGAAATGCTGAGAAAGGAAGATGCGCTTAATCAAAGCATGTGCCCAGCCTCTGTGTGCAACAGGCCTTTGAGATGCCCAGCTAGGTCACTCTTTACCTCCCAGTATATCCAAACTCATTAGATCTGCCTAATTTATCTGAAGTATTTTTCAATCAGAAGGGGTTCTTGAGCACTGACCTCTGGATGTCGGTACTAAAGTGTGTGATGTGCTACTATGAGCAGTGTGGGTATCACCCACTGAAGGACTAGTACCTGCCCCCTCCCATGCCAGTAACATCAGGCAGGCAGCCAAACTGGAGCAGGAGGAGGATGGAAAGCAAACAGGCAGCCTCTGGGTCAGAGATGCTACATGAAACATACAGGACCTCTGAGGGATGCTGGCACTGGCTGGAGATTTTAAGCTTTGACCGAGGGAAATGTTCACTCATCCTGCACTCACACCTGTCAGAAAGCTCTGCTTTATTAGCTGGAGACCACAAAAGTCAAAACAAACTGCTCAACTGATCCCAAGGGTACAATGCAACATTTTCTTTGGAAACTATTATCAAAAACAGCCTCAACTTCTGTACATAATTTTTCTCCTTAATGGGCCATTAAAAGGCTGGTTCTTGTGCTCTGTTACTCCATACCTAGCCATGGCATTCATCACTTTCCTGGTAGTGCTGCTCTTACTGGAGCATCGCATGCTTCCTTGCAGACCTCTAGAAGATACCTAGCTGCTTTGTTTCAATATCATTATCCTTGCTAACAACTGAATGTAATTGTCCAAGCCTACTGTATCAAGCCTAATGTACCTCAACCAAAAAACACTTGCAGAAGATCTAAGAAGAGAGCTGCGGTCAGAGAAGAGAATTAAGAGGCAAGACTCCAAGGCACTACTTTCAGTTCTGCTTAGCACTTGCACCTTTGGAAAGGTTTTTACCTTCCTTTTGCCTCAGTTCCTGAATTGCAGAATGACCCACTTAGGAGGCTTATTTGGAATACTAAACCGTGTTTGCAAAGAGCCTGGATTTAAGGTGCTAAGTGCATGTACACACAGTAGAGTAGGTCTGCACTGCTTATGCCCCTTAATCACAACACTTCTATTCCCAAGCGACCATTTTAACCATTTCATTCACTTATCTTCCTTCCCCCAATTTTAATTCTCATGAGTTTTTCCTCCTTTTTTGGTCATTACTTGCACTTATTTAAGAGGTAGCCAAAGACATCCGTGATGGATGCTCAAGAAAGCTATTCCAGCTGTAAAGACAGTGAGGTGATGATTGTTTTCCCCATCACATACTTTAAGGAAAGGAAATTAGCACCTAGAAACACCTGCCATGCACTTTTTCTGTGTAGCTGCCAGGTACTTCTGATCACCTAGCTACACAGCTGGGAAGGAGCTGAGGGCAGTGAACTCCCACGTTTCCACAACCCCCTTTCCTGAAGGAAGGCAACTTGTTTCGGTGATCTGCACTTACCTGCCTCTCTCCTTGAATCTAGAGAAAACACAAGTTCTTGCTTTGGAAATGTGTTATGGCTTTACTATTTCAAAGATGTGCAATGGTAGCCTAATTACGGTTAATAGCTCATCAAAGTAATTTAGAAAATCAGAGAGGAAAAGCCATTACAGAATCAAAATTTAAGCAGGAGCCAGAGGAAAGCACAGTTCTGTGATGGTCATATGCTCACCTGGGTTATTATTTGGTACCTGGTTACCAGCTTGCGATTGGCTCCTATAAACACAAGGAGTAAGCTCAGCTGGAAATAGATGTGGTCTGTAGCAATTAATATCTCATCCACTAGAAAATAAAGGAAAAGTACAGCTACACAAGCTGCAAAACTGAATGACAGCAGATGATGCCCTGGAAATGCACTTGAGAAGGCACATAACAAGGTCAGGTGGGAATCAGGAAAATGAGCACACCCTCGTGGAAGCAAGAGGAGGAAAGGAAGGGCGTACAGGGAACACGCAGGGAGCTCGTAGCTCCTGATGTTGGTGACAGGACACAGGGCTTCGTGGTGTCCAGGCACCAGATTGGGATGGGACCATGCACTCCTGACCTATGTGTAAGGTTGCTTTGGATGTAAGAACAAGAAGCACCTAAAGCTCGGTGGAACCCAAGAAAGCTGGCACTTGGCAGCTCTTTGAAGGCAGTAGCTGCGTGCTGGCAAGCTGCCGAATGCCTGCTGTAAAAATTGAAGCTTTCTGTGAAATGCAATTTCCACACAAGTTGTACGCCCAGTGGTGAGAGGGCAGCAAGTGCTGAATCCCACTGCAGAGACAGAGTGCACACTCCTTTTCTGACCACCTGCCAGGGTGACACAGGTTGGGCCAGAACTGATTTCTCCCCAGGATCCTTTATAACATCACCTTTCTCTGTAGAGCCCAGCTCCAGCGTGATTCAGGCTGCAGAACCCAGATGGGAGCTCTGGATATTTCCCTTCCTACACACAGAAGCCCTTTTATCTTTCAGCTGCCAAAGATGCACGGGGATGCTGACAGGAAGACAATCAGCAAGTCTCTTTATCAGCCACAGACATCAGGGACACAGGCACATGGGAGCCTCACTCCCTTATCTGCCCACATGCAGCTGGGTGACCCTTTGAAGAACCTGAGTTGTTCCCTCACCGAGGAACATCCCCACCGTGTGCCATGTCCGGGGTGGAAGTCAGGGAACTGCTGTGAGACAACACACATGGTGTTGTCTCCTGGTGTTCAGAGGTGGTGCACACTCCTGGAGTTTTCAGTCCTGGGACAGACATCTTCAGCCCCATCCAGGCAGCCTGCTTCAGCACTGCCCAGAAGCAAGGCAATTTGCAGTAAAAAGAGCATGCAACCTGCTGTAATTTCAACCCACCATCACACCTATCAGCAAGGGGAAAGGACTGAGAGACAAGATACGCCTTGCTCCCACAGAGAGCTCTCCATCCTCATGCATCTCCTGGGAGGGAGCAGGACTCCTCCTCCCCTCCCTTTTTTTTTTTTTCGCAGGGAGAAAAATTGATAAACCAGTCTATCAATTACACCTGAAACAGGTGGTGGCTTCTGTGTTGTGACTGATGCTCCGAGGGCTGGAGCACCTCTCCAATGGAGAGAGGCTGAGAGAGTCAGGGTTGTTCAGCCTGGAGAACAGAAGGCTCCGGAGAGACCTTATTGTGGCCTTCCAGTACTTGAAGGGGGCCTGTAGGAGAGCTGGGGAGGGACTCTGTCAGGAAATGTAGCAACAGGACAAGGGGTAATGGCTTTAAAAAAGGGTAGATTTAAGTTAGATATTTGGAAGAAATTCTTAGAGGGCGGTGAGGCACTGGCACAGGCTGCCCAGAGAAGCTGTGGATGCCCCATCTCTGGGGGTGCTCAAGGCCAGGCTGGATGGGGCTAGGAGCAACCTGGTCTGGTGGGAGGTGTCCCTGCCCATGGCGGGGGGTTGGAACTGGGTGATCTCTAGGGCTGTTTCCAACCCAAACCATGGTGATTCTGTGTGCTGAAACCAAATGAGCATAGCACGCAGCCCCCCAGTGCTCAGTGCCCAAGAAGGATAGCTGGTTACCAGATGGCCCGAAGCAAATTAAAACCAATGACCTGCCTGAGTGAGGCTTCTTTTCACATTGTCTAATGCCCATGCAATAAAACAAACTGGTTTATTTTTGGCCTGTTACTGACTGAGCATAGTGCAGAAACGTTGATGTGGTAAATTTTCTCCAGCATTAAAGTGACAAAATGAAAGAGTCATTGCAGCAAATTTTGTCCTTCAAGTTCTTAGTCAGGACACAGACCATCACAGCCTGAGTCATCCAGCCTCACAGCAGCACACACCTGCTGCCTGTCCCCTGGGTTGTCTTTTTCCACAGAAAATCCACCTCCTTACAAGCCTGCCACAGCACAAAGCAATTAATAATATTTCTGCACCAGTAGGAACATCCCCTACAGTTCGAGGATGCAAACAATTTCTTCCTGGCAATCTACAGCTGCCAGAGGCTACCAATCCAAGCCAGAGCCTCAGTGTTATTTTAAGCCCTGTTCCTAGCTGCAGCAGCATAATGTTCACCAAAAACCTTCTTACTAGAAAGGAAGAAAACTATGGAGGCAGGATGGTGAATTTCAGGGAGATCTAGTGCTGACTCTTTCCTAGTGCGTCACGAGCATGAAATTTTATCACAGATAATGAATCCTGTACACCCTGCATGTTAAAAACAATGTATTTTGTCTGTCCCTCTAGCTATAAAACGCTTAATGCACATACCTCCAACTCCAGCCTGATGTCAGGATGCAGATTAAACCCTTGTTCACTCCTTGCACAGGGCAAATAAGTAGCACTGTCACTGATCTGTATTAAAAACCAAAGGCAGGGACATGCCTGTAATTGCAGATGGAGGGGATCTTTGAGGGATATGAGCTAGGTGTGAGACTCAGAAAGGCCAGCAAGGGGAATTTGCACATTTGATTCACCTGTGGCTAGGCAGCCATCCCCCTGCACACCTGCATGGACCCAGCCACCAGCCTCAGAGTCATTTCCCAGTCACGTCACTTTCCTGATGAGAACTCGGGCCCAGGCTGGGCAGTCCAGGCAGCCAGAGGGAGCAGGCATCTGGTTGTGGCAGGCAGGGGGAGCACAGACTGTGAGCACTGCTCCAGCAGCCCCAGCTGCAGAGCCTCCACACCTATGAATGTGCATGGTCTCAGTAGGCTACTAGAAGTTTCATCAAGGTATGTGGTGGGCTTCTAAAGCACCACTGCCATGTGCTGTTCCCAGCACATCATCAAGGAATATCGTAACACAACGTGATGATTTGCTCACTTGGGTTTATATACATACACAGCTAAAGGCCAACTAAAATCTGTGCCGTAGAATCTGTATACCCAACCCTCGCCTACATATCAACGAAAGAAAATCTAAGTTACTCAGCCTAAAACATCTGCTGGCATGTTGATTTTGGATCTGTGCTGACCATGGCAGCTTTCATTTAGGATCCTCACTTTCTGCAAGAAGTGGTTAGATTCCTCTACTGAGAAAACTTTATTTTTATGTTCTGCTGCACTGCTTCGTGTTCCTGCCGTTCTCTACAGAAGATGCATTCAATAGCAGAAATTTATCTGCCATGATGCATCCAGATTTTTGTTTTTTTGTTCAGATCAGCCTGAACATTACAGCCTTGAAATCCAGCTAGAAAATCTGATTCTTTTACAACAGAAATGCATTGTGCAAACATTACAGAAGGTAGAAATACCAGTCTGAGACTGAGGCATTCAGGAATTGGAGGGGAGGAGGGAATGCTTGAAACCATCTATTGCAGGACACCCTTGTTAAAATGAGTGAAAAGGCAACTCATTTTGCACGTCATTATTTTCAACTAAACTTAATTGACAGCCTGTCCACTCTCTTCTCAGCCTATGACAAAAACCACCACTCTAGCAGTTTGAATAGAATACAGGCAGTGATACTATCTATGCATTGTTCCAGTCTCCATACCTGCTGGAAGGTTGTCGGATTTCTTGCACATAATCACATTAGAGAAAAATCTCTTCTCAAAGGAAATTATGAAACACAGGCTCTTGTAGTGCATAGCCCTTCATCAGTGCAGCTACGTTCCTTAAAAAAGAGAAAGTTAAATGATGGTTTTGTATCAGACAACAGCACATAATCCAGGACTCAAACACACAACCTCGGAATCAAAACCATGTAGTCTTTCACACTGGCAGTAAATGAAAGATCTTGAAGGGGTGCTGGTTCCAGCAACAGAGCCTTATTCAGTAAGGTGGCAAGGACAAAGGCATTGCATCAGAAGTGAATCTGAACCATCTGTTAAATGTCATCATGCAAAAAATGTGTTACCGCATTCGCCCCAGATCCAGGCATTCAGATACATCTTCTGGCTGTGATGCTAAATACAGAGCACAAAAATCTTAAGCTAACAGAACAGAAATATTAACCTTAATTAAAATGGTATGCAATTAATTACCCTGTTCAGAGCTAGAAGTGTGTTAGCAGACAGGTACTGTGTGCCAAGTCTGATATTACACTGTGTGGGGTTTAGCACAAACAGGGCTGGAACAGCCCATCAGAACCAAGATGACTAGCAAAAAAAATAAGCCTGTGCTGGCACTAGGAAAAGAACGTGTTCCTCATAGCAAGGTAATGACACCATTGTTCTAAATACCTGTTCAAAATTATCTGAAGCACAAAGACAAGAACTCCAGACCTATAGATGATCACTTTTATAACAGTTTTATTCAAGTCTGTGTGCTCTAGTGTTGAGACAAGGCCTAGATCAGCATTACACTGTAATACAATAATTTTAGCCATTGAACCAAGCCTGCTTGGCATCCTTGGTTTACAATTTACAGTACATCCAAAAAAAAGCAAAGAGAAAAAAAATCTCAGAACGCCAACAACTTTCATTAGCTCTTTGCTTTGCTTAAATATTGTTCTATAACATAAAATAATTTAATACAAAAAAAGAACTGTAATCCAAATACACATAATACATTGACACAGAACAGAGGAAAGATACAGTAGATTATGCACAAGAGTATTCAGTTGATGTGTTACCTACAGTGAAACAAACTGGACATTAATATAATTTAACTATTTAAGCCCAAGAGGGTCAGAGGCAACAAGGCCGGGTCACAAATAAAGCTTTTTAAAAAATAATGCAATCTTATTTTCCCCTAAGCTTACTGCTGTACAGAGGTTAAAGGAAGGCTCCAACAAATCACTTCATTTGACAACATTTCATCACACAAACAAGAAAAACTCGGTGGCTTCCATTAGTTTACTCAACTCTGGGGTACGTTACCACTTGCTAACGCAACTGCTTCATTGCAGGTTCTTCAGGCAAAACACACCCTCAGGTGCTACTTCCATAGCAAAGACTTTTGAACACCGTGAACAGAAGAGAAGACGTACAGGAGGTCTCCACAAAAGGACTGAAATACTTAGCGTCGTAAGATGAATCCCAGTCCTGCAGAGTTTGGAGTTTCTTACAAAGTACCTAACACGCTCCACAAAGGAATTTCAACACAGGCAGGAACTATCCCATACCTCAAAAGAATGGACATGTGGGCATGATCTTACACTGGGTGTAATCTACTCACCTGGTTCTTCAGATTTACAACATTGTACCTAGGAAGTCAGGTCACTGATTTTTGCAGCTGGATTTAAACAGAAGCAGGAGCAGATCCACAATTAATAAGGCAAAAGAAAGACGTAGCTTATAAAAAGAGGGAGGAAATACATTCTCTGGCTTAGAAATTCTTGGACTTTCAAAGCCACAGAAGAGACATTGTTAAAAGCACAGGTAGTTTCCCTGATTTTTCTACCACTGTTGCCCTCCCCACTCCATATAAGCCTCCCAACCTAAGTCACGCAAAATATCTCCGAAATTCCCAGCTTGTTCTGCATTTATAGCAAAGCAATCATACACGCCAGCACAAAATGCTGGGCCAACAGCTGACAAACAAGAACCCAAGAACCTAACAATGGTGGTGGATGGTGATCACTATCGAACTTGTCAGGTCTGTCCATCAGCCTGGAAGGATGCGTTTTTGAAATGGAAAAACAAAACTGAGAAGAAGCCTCGGGTTTAACACCAGCATTTGTACGTACAACCTCCACACACCACTCATTGCCCCTTTGCAGCTAGCAATCTGCTAGTGCAGAAGTCATTGCTCTTTCCCTCCTGTGTCAGAACATTCTCTCAAAGCTTCCCTTGTTTATGGTTAAGAATTAGCAGTCAAACAGGCATGGCAAATGCAGGCATGGAAAGGCCACACGAGTCAGAGCAATCAAACCCAGAAAGCTGTGAAGGAACTTCCTCTGACGAAGTATGGAGGCTGGTCCTTCACCATGAATCTCTACAGACACCCCAGTTCAGATTAGAATAGCTTTGCTGACTTGGGGTCTCGTGTATTTGGACCCAGATACATTCCATTGATTCCAGTGATGTTTAGTTATGAGATGAATAGCTTCCTTGAATTGAGGCCTCTCGCCCTTCTAGTTAAAAGGCAGTGCCCCAAATACGAATTTTTACTACTAGATGTTCTTAGCTTTACATGGTTTCTCATTAAAACTGACAACTATGAGGGACACTGATTTTAAGCAGACCTAGGTATATTCTCCACTTGGAATTTAGCTGTCTCTCAGACAGACTTACGCCGCGCAAAAATGGCTTTTATTCTCTGTAAAGAGCACTGGCCAAACTCAACTGCTCCACTGGCAAACACAGGTATGCTTTGTTTTTTAATTTTGTTTTTTAATTTTTTTTTTTTTTGCTGCTGAGTTATTCTGTACAGCCCAGGATTTCTGGATGTTACAGTTGCCAAGATAACCTTGAAAACAGCAATGGCAGAACTGATGCAGTAACATCTGCTTTAGATGCAGAGTGAACAATCAGCTCAGAGGTATTAGCTGCCCTATTCAGATACGAATGCTAACCGTGGTGACATTTTAAGAGCTGCTCACTAAAGCATGCAAGACAGAAATACAAGCCTACTATGAATATCTGGGCAATCAGTCAAGAGAACTCATTTTGTGACACAAACTGTGTCTGGGAAGAAACATCCCAGCACCTTACCCCCAAGTTGAGAAGCGGCCACATCTATGAAATTCCAGAAAAACCCAAGGAAAAAGCTCAGTTCACCTCCAAGATCAGTGTGCAACTGTGCTAAGCTAAACAGTAATCAGAGACCCCATTTGTTTTGAAACTCAGTGACAAGAAACCAATTACAAGGGTTCCCAAAGAACTTGATTATATTCTGAAATCTCATGTTAGCAGCATTCTTATAAATGAAGCCTGAAAAAGCACTGGTATGTCTTTCTGCTCCATTATAACCTCTGCTACTAAGAGAAAGCACTAGGGCATGGCTAGAGCAATGCTTCTTCTTTCTCAGACCCGTGTCTCTCCCCCTCCTGCTTCAAGGCAAGAAGGTTAGTTTTACCCAACCTCAGCATCTGTTCTCAAGAAAATGCTAAATCAGAACAATCAAGGTAGAACAAGGAGACAGTGCTAATCACTCCTAAATAGCATAAATAAATACTTTATCCTGGTCTTATGCTGGGGATTCAGCCAACTACTTTTAGAAACAATGTGGGCTCTCACTAGCTGGAAGCTTAACTTCAAGCATGGACAAGATCCTAGAAAAGTACTTTAGGTAATGAAGGAACATTTTTCCTTAGCATTATTATTTTTCAAGTAACTTATTCTAAGCAACTTCTAAACAACTTTGGCATTCCTTCTGCAGATCTGGGCTAAGCCTCCATTTGTTAGCTGGGCTAGGATCTGACTGACCCATAAGCTACAGACCCGAAAGTTGCCCACTTCAACCTTATAAATCCACTATATTACACACTAAAAATGTGTCATGGTTTCTTAGTATTAGCTATATCAGACTGTCTGCACATTGTTAGCATTCAGACATGAGAACTACATTAAAATCAAATATATTAGGAAAACAACTGCGAATACAGGAAAGCAGGACTGCATACAGGTTCACTTAAAGAACACAAGAGTATAAAAAAATCTGTTTCAAAAAACATACTTTCCCCTTTAACAGCAGCAGTGACCAATATGAAATCACCACCTTTCCACACTGCAGACGTTCAGCTCGTCCACGGGTTGAAAACCATCAGGAAACATGCCCTCTGCCTTGTCATTTACTGTTTATTTTGGAGACCTACATAGTAAAAGCAAGCATAACCTTAACTTATCAACCTGAACTGCTGGTTTTATTTTTCCATCAGGAATCTGAGTGTCAGAGAGCCAAAAGCAAGTGTTTTCCTCTGTCCTCTCATCATTCCAGCCTCAACTGCCTACCTAGAACAGTTCCCATCAAAAAAACACCAACACCCTTTTATTCTTTCTTCACACTCCAACTCTACAAATGAGGTAGCTCAGGGTAAAATAAAGACAACCAGAAACAAAGTCACTACACAATCCTCAAATTCTTCTTTAGGACCCAACCTACCTATGATGCCCAGAGATTACCAAGCAGCTAGTATCCTCTATCCTCCAACTTTTTTACTACAAAAGAATGATAATTTTACCCATTTATTGGTTATTTTCTGTCAACTTCCACCTTCACTTCCCCTAACTGTGTTTTATGTTTCTACCTTGAAAATATTTCAGGCCAAAGAACACCTAAAACAAGTGTTGTTTTCTGCCTTGGGCCCCATAATATTATAGTACCAAGAATTAATAACTGATTAAGATGGGAAAGGGACAGCCACTGAAATAATGTGTTTAGAATTCTACCCAAGAGATAAGGAGAGCTAATGACAGCGCACTTGTTTCCACAGGGGTATACGCAAGTCAGCAAATGGGAGGACACAAAATGTTTGCAGTGCTGGTGTTTGGCCTGATGTATGACAACACTACAGCACTGAAAGCTAAATCCAAGAGTTCCCTCCAAAAAAACAACCTAAGGCCCTAGCAAGGATGCATGTGAAGCAGAAGGCACCTAGGAA